GTGATGAGATTCAAAACTTTTTACTACCAGTTCTGTGGGTGTGACTTAGTGGACAGGGCTTGGCTTGGTGGGCGTGGCAAGGGAGGGATACTGTAAAATCTCCATTCCCTCCCTACCCTACTAACCTACTTTCCAGCTCTGTTCTCCTGTGCAGGGCAACCAAAGAAGACCCAGCGGATCAGCTGGAACTCAATGGGAGGCAGAGAATAGATGGGAGTGGGGCCACTCAGAGGTGGGATTTGCCAGTTGTCCGAACGACTCAAAATTTCCGCTACTGGTTCTCCAGAACTGGTCAGAACCTGCTGAATGCCACCTCTGGGTTGTTCCTAGGGGCCATCTTCCCTTCTAGGAAGGATAATAAAACTGTTATCTCCCACACACATCCTTGTATATTTAAATAAGAAAGATAGCTATAAATCCAATATATGCAAATTTTTAAAAGTGTAGTAAGTTCTGCATACGGTGAGAGAATCCAATAGAAGAGAATATCTGTGGCTCAGGGTTGAATTGTGGTACTCTCTGAGCCTGGCTGATTGCTTACAGATGCTTCATTATCCAACTAGGTTACATCATTAGTGCAAGAAAATTGGGGTTTGCTCCCTGTTATATACAGTTTGTAGCTTATATATAATAAATAACATGTGGTGTGGCTTATATACAGTAGTTACTATACATAAACAATATAGAAGCTACATATGCATGTAATCCTCAACTTACAAACATTTGTTTAACAATGGTTTGAAATTATGACAGCCTTAGAAAAAGTGGCTTCTTACTTCTCATCCTTTGAAGTTATGATTATCCCGCCATACCCGAAATCACATGCTTGCAATTCAGGTGCTTTGGCGACCAGCCTGAATTCATGATGGTTGCAGCATCTTGTGATCAGATGATTGTGACTTGAGACAGCGTTCATTTTATTAGAGGAAATGTCCCTTGTCTGTCTGTTTACTCCATCTCTCTCTCTCTCTCTCTCTCTCTCTCTCCCCCCCCCCCCCCCCCAGCCTGTAGGCTGGGACCTGTTCACAGCTGGCCTAAGTGTGTGGTGGGCTGGCGCATGTGTGCACGTACACAGCTCAATTTGCCTGCCCCTCTTTCCCTTCCTCCGGGCCGGGCCACAAACCCGCAAAGTTTGGGGAACGGTGTTTTAGCAGACAGCAGCAAAGGAAAGGATTTCCTGCTCCCTTCCCAGCCAGCCTCTATAAAACATACCAAGCCTGCACTTTCCTCCAAGAGGAAATCATAGATAATAAATGACAGAACAAGCCACTGAACTGGAGCAGGAACATCTGGCTGGAAGGTGGATCATCTCTGTCACCTCGACTTCCTTAGTTAGATGGCTCTCTGAAAGGAAGGAAGCCCAGCCACGACCTTCCTCCCTTTCTCTGCAGCAGAATCCCACCCCATCTCTCTTGGTTATAATGTTTGGTTCCACTCACTGTCTCTCCCTGACCCGTCCCAGAAGTTCAAAAGGAGGCAGCAGTTAAGCACCACAAAAAGAAACCATTCTACCACTGTGGGAGCTCAAGCCTGATTTGGGGTCACCTCTCCAGCAGCTCCTCTCCACACTTGAAGGGCAGTGGCTCTGCTACCTTGGAACAGGAAAATGGACTTGGATCAGCTCCCTGGTTTTGGTGAATTACTCATCCCACAACAAAAAAAGCTTGCTGGATGGAGAGAATTTCATTATTTTCCTTATAAAAATAAGTGAGTAAAATTGGGCAGGAGAGACTAAACTCTGCCTGGTTGCCCTCTGGAATAAGTTGTAGGAATTCTAATGTGGGCTGAAAAAGAGCTGACCTCCATTTTGGAGTTCTGTGCCTAGCATCCTTTCTCCAAAGACCCTTTTGGCCTGAGTGTTTTGCAAAAGAAGCAGTTGCTTTAAGGGGCAAGCCATAATAAAAGTGGCAAATCGTCATTTTTATGAGTTCAGTACAGTTTTAAATCCAGGTTAGTGATTGGTATCATTTTCGAAAAATAATTTGGAGTAATAGAATTTAGTGTAAACAAGTCTTCCTCGTTTTGTCATTGGGATATTTTTCTAAGTACCGTATATTGGAGTCACATTTCTCCATTTATCCTGCTTCTTTTTCTAAATATACCTGTAGTTTTTAATATTTTTTTTTTACTATTGCAACAGTAAAAACTAAACTCAGAGAAAGGGAATAGAAAAAGAAAGAATAAAAAGTGCAAGCCAAAAAAAGGAGAAAGGGATGAAAAAATAGCAGTATAAAGAAGTGACTTCCAACCTTCCTCATAAATATAAACAAACTGAATCATTCTTTACCCCCTGTATGGTTACAAACAGATCTCACCCCTTCTTTGTAAGCAAACCCCTAAAACATCAGCTTTTCGATCCTTGTATCGGCAAATAATCCATAAAGGCTTGTAGAACTTTAAAAAAAAATCTTAACCTCAATCCAATAAAACAAATTTATATTCCTCCCTTTTACTTCTAACAGTCTTAATCTTGAATTCAATCAAATATTGTCATAGTATTTGATTTTTCCCCAGTTCCCAGGAATGGAAGGCTGAGTCAACCTTGAGCCATTATTCAGGATCGAACTCCTGTCAGCAGGCAATGAGTTAACCTGCAGTGTTGCATTCTAACCATTGCGCCATCACGGTCGCCCCTCCCCCCCCTCTCCATGTCTAATATGAAGCCTAATAGTTTCCAATTAGGTGCCATGGAATTTGTAGCAGGAAATGTTATCAAAGAAGATTGTTTGGCAGATAAAGTTAATGCAGAAAGGCACATACCCGTGTTTCTCATAAAATAAGGCTAGGTCCTATTTTTTTTTGAGCCCCCAAAAAACGGCTAGGACATTTTTTCGGGGGTGACTTAATTTCTTCCCCCACACGCACCTCCACCTAGAGTGCCCCATGCCTGCTCACCTCTCCATGAGGCCGCCACTGGAAGCTCCCCAAAGGTAGAGTCACCAGCTGCTTTTATCGGCCGGTAGAAGCGGCCTTGGGGCAAGCACCCATGCGCACTCACCTCGCCACGAAGCTGTTTCTATCAGCCGATGGAAGCTCCCCAAAGGCAGAGTCACCAGCCGCTTTGGGGTGAGGCGTGGCTGCCCGCAGGGAACTCCTGAGAGGAACGCCCCACGCACACTCTCCTCAAGGCCGTTTCTATCGGCCGATGGAAGCTCCCAAAAGGCAGAGTCACCAGCCGCTTCCATCGGCCGATAGAAACTGCTTCATGGTGAGGGGAGTGCACGTGGGAGAGTAGCTGCAAACTTTCTTAGCAGAAGGGAAGCAAGCTGAGTGTCTCTCTCTCTCTCTGTCTCTCTCTCTCTCTCTCTCTCTCACACACACACACACACACACCACCCTTGCTAGCCCTTGTCCCTGCACCGGGCCAGCCAAGCCCTTCTGGCGAGGGAAGGTCTCAGCATCTGCGGGGTTCCCACCGCCATCCTCCCCTCCCCAGGCCAGACCTTTTCTGGGCACCCTGCCAAAGTCCCAGGGCAGTCGACCTCCCTTTACCTGCTGCCACCGCTGGTTTGGGGAGTGGGGGGGGCGCGGGCGAGGGAAGAGGAGGCAGCAGAGCTCGGTTACCCTTAGAAGGGAGATCGGGCGGGCTCCTGAAAGGAGACATGGGAGCGGTCCTCGTGGGAATGTGGCGGGGAAGTGGGGTGAGTGTGAAAGGGTCATCGCCGCAGCACAGGAGGGCGGGAGGGAGCTGGAGCGAAGAAGGGCCGGGGAGAAGCTAAACCGTCCTTTCTATTGTTCTGGTGAGGGCCAAATATTTGCAGGGGCTGGTTGGAAAGGCCTAATTTCAGTATGAACCTTGAGTCGTGGGGCGGGGGAGTTGAATGGCAAAGGCACTCTGCACATGATCCGAGGCAACCTTGCCACAGCTCACGGGTGGCGCTGCTAACAGTTGGGGGGAGTCTGAAAACTTCAGTGAC